GCTCGGAGGGGGGCTGCCTTTGAAGACCAGCCAGAAATGTCAACTGGTCCAAAATGCAGCAGTGTGTGCATGTTGGGGTACATTACATTTTTCCCCTGTTCTCCTGCTGCTGTGTGAGCTGCACTGGTTCTTTCTGGGTGCAGTTCAAGGTGCTGTTATCACTAAAGTGTCAGGCCCAGCCCAAGAACAATGATGAAACAGTCCAGTCTAGTACAGTTCCTTTATTTCCTCACACCTTATAGACAAAATCTTGCCAAACTAAATCTATACTACAGCAACTAGTCAAAATACCTGTGAGATTCTAGTGAGTGGCGATCCTGAATCTCCTACTCTTCTCACTCTCCCCTGTAGACTGTGTTGTCTCTTGTCTCCTTTCCCCTCCTGGAATGCACTCCTTCCTTCCTGATGGCCTTGATCTCCCTCATCACTCTCCTCCTCGAACATACATTCCATCACATCAAGCCCTGTATGGCATGGGACCAGGTTGTTTAAGGGATCGCCTCTTCCTGAAGACATCTATCCATCCCGTAATTGGATAAGATGATCTCATTCCAGGTCCCCTCCATTAAGTGTCATCATCAGGTGGGACCCAGCAAGTAAGCCTTTTCTGTAGCTGTAGCTGTAGTTATGGACTAGCTGCCCCCCTTGAAATTTGGAGGGCCCCTTTCCTTCTTGCCTTCCAGAAGGCCTTGATCTTCTACGATGTGAAGCGAGCTCAGTTTTTTATTTTTGAGAGAAGACAGTTATGGTGGTATGTAAGAAACTTTTTTTTAACCTTCTGTATATTATTTGCATTTCTGATTGTTAGCTCCCTAGCACTATTTTATATAAAATGGGTAGCCATATTCATTTTTCAAATAAATCCATGGATGCTTCCACCAGGACCTAAGTTTGATGCACAACAGACTTTGGCTTTTTGTGAGCATCTAAAAAGTGAAAGAAAGATGCTGGTTTTGACTGCTAGAAGGGAAATGTATCAAGATGAAAGATGAAATGTTTTTATCTGCAAAATCTTACTTTATTTCCATGTGCTTCTTTATCTTTATTACAGCATGACACACACTCAATATCTGATATTGTAGACAGAAAGGAAATAGCTTCTGAGCAATAAGTGCTGTAAGCATTTTCAGAGTGTGGTCGCTCATATATTTGGAGTCCTACTAGAAAGGGAGATGTTCAAGTATCAGTAAATTCTTCTGGTCTTGCTCCAAAGGGTGTAGGCTCAAGAGCCTGCAGAGAAGATGAATTAATTTCTCATTTCCAAGTGTAGAAGATATAGCAAATTCATCTTTGCTTCTTTCCTGAAAGGATCAATTGACACAGAGGTATGTGACCAGCACCCTTAATATCCAGTAGAAGAGAATATCTGTGGCTCAAGGCTGAACTGTGGAGCCCTTGGTGCTCTATGAGCTTGGTTATTTGCTTGCTGACATTTCATTATCCAACTAAGTAACATCATCAGTGCTGATGACATTACCTAGTTGGCCAATGAAACATTTGCAAGCAAACAACCAAGCTCAGACAGCACCGAGGACTCTACCCTTAATATCTTCAGAAGTGGGTGAGGTGTCGTTTTTCGTGCTATGAGGAAGACATCTTACAGTACCTCCACATGTATTGTGATTTGGAAAGCTATGAAGGATCACACCTACTTAGTAGATACAAAGGGCACCAACAATTCCCCAAAACACTCCTCTCTTGAACAGTTTAGGCAATCAGAACAACAGCCAGGTTTTCTTTCTTTTGATGCCTATATTTTCCTTTAATTTACAGAGTCTTTTTTGCAGAATGGAAGGACAATTCAATCTTTCATCAGGTAGGAACAGCATCTTAGCTATGTTATATATTATATTCCTGTCTTTGGGGACTACTTGTGATAAAGAACGTCTCAGGTGTTTCAAAA